AGAAGGAGAAGGAGAAAGAGAAGGAGAAGAAGAGGACAAGAAGGGGGAGGAGGAGGACGAGAACAATTTTAGGAGAAGGGGAAGAAATGACACATTCAGAATCTGAATCTTTGAGCTTGAGGTTCCTATAGGAGACATTCAGGACAACTAGATATTAGGGTCTGGAACTGTTGAGTTGTAGTAGTGGATAAAGCCTTGCAAAGGCAGAGCAGTGTTAGAAAGTGTGCAGAATGAGGAGAGTAGAAGGCAGTGTTCAACCTTGGAGAACATCAACATTTAATAGAAACAAAAAGGCCTACAACAAATGCAAAGGAGTGGCTAGAAAGGTAGGAAAACTAGGGGGAAAGAGGTTTAATAGTAGCCAAGTGGGGAGAGAATGTTGAGAGAAGAGAATGGTCAATTATACCCATTACTGCTAAAAGGTTCTCTAGGGCAAGGAAGATGCAACAAGAAGGTCTTTTAGGACATTGCTTGAAAGACCTTCAGCAGAATTACAAGGACAGCAAAGCCAGGTGGCCTGTGAAAGAGGTGTGGATGGGATGTAAGGCAATAAAGTCAGAGGGTAGTCCAGTGTTGATGGTGCCCATTTGCTCATTACTGTAGACCCATTGTCTAAAGCACTTTATGACACATTGTAGGTACTGACACACAGTAGACATTTGTTGAATAACATATATTGAATGTAAGATAGGATGGTGGCTACGATGGTAAGGTCCAGGAAGTTTTATTTACTTGGTTTATTATTATTATTATTATTATTATTATTATTACATCTTAAATTCTGGGGTACATGTGCAGAACGTGCACTTTTGTTACATAGCTATACATGTGCCATGGTGGTTTGCTGGAGACACAGGAACACATTAAATGCTGAGAGGAAGAGCCCATGCTAAAGGAATTCCAGTTATAGGAGAGGCAGTAATTCATGAAAGAAGATCCCTAAATGGAGCAGGGAAATCTTCTTTATATGCCCAACAACAAGTAGAAGGATTTGAGGGTCTGTGACAGGCAAGTCTCCTCCTGGGTCACACAATTGGGAAAATTCTGGTCATTATCCAGTAGTCTTCCTTGTCTGTCCCACAGACTGAATTTGTGGATTACTCTTGTGAGTATGGGCTTTGAGCAAAGGGTGGTGCCAGGCCCATGATACCACACAGACTACCTGCCACAGGCAGGGGCACACCGTGAGTACTGCAGCAGTTTAGGGAAGCACAGTTCAAAAGAGACTTTGACAGTCTAGATGGTGCTCAACAAGAGGAGACAAGCAGGTGGGGATAGGTCTGAAACAAGAACAAAGGAGTAGATTTAGTCCCAAGTACCAAAGGACAAAGGATGTTGACCTGTTCTCTGTCACCCCTGAGAGCTAAAAGGTGGGATTTTTCAGGGAGGAAGACTTTGTTCAGCTCAACAAATGGTTCTTAAAGTCTTAGTCTTTTCCTCTCTTTTCTTCTCACTATATAACCTCTCCCTAAGAGACCTCTCTGTCCCTGGCTTCATGGCTGATGACTTCAATTCTGGATTGGTGCATGAAGATAGGCTTAAACCCATACATTCCTACTAGACATCTCCACTTGAATGTTTCTCAGGCACCCCAGACTCAACTTGTCCAAAATAGAAGTCATCAGAAATGTGAGTCAACTTCGACTCTTCCTTGTCTCCCAATCCCAGGATCCAGTTCATGATCAAATCAACTTTTCTTCATCCCACTGCCACCAGCTTGGTCCAGGCCACCACTGTGACCTGGCTGGACACTTGTCAATGGCCCCCTCATGGATCTGCCTAAATCTGCTCTTGCTCCCTTACAATCTATTCTCCTCACAGAAGCCAGACACATCTTTAAACAATACAAATATGATGATTCCCCTGATCAAAACCCTCCAATGGCTTCCTGGTTGCTTTTAAGAAAAGAACAAATAGAGTCTTTGTTTCAGAGGGTCTAAAATGTACCACTTGATTGGGCGCCTGGCTCCTTCTTCAGTTCCACCTCTCTGACTCTCTGCCCTCAAGCTACGTGGTCTTGTTGTACCTTGAATCTGTCACCTATACCTTCTTGCTTCAGGGGCCTTCACACCCTCTCTTCCTTCTTCCAGCCCCACCCTCCAGGCCCCTGTCCACCTTCCTTGAGGTGATTCCTCATTCTTCAGGACTTCTTCCTGCAGAACTCATCTCACCTGTTCCACCCTAGAAAGCCCTCTTCTCCCCCAAGCCAACACACATCTCTTAACCTGCCTGGTGGCAACCAGTCCTTCTTTCCTTCATCGTACATATCCAGGAGGTTATTAAATAACTCTATTCTAGGCTGTTTAATATCTGCCTTTCTCACTGGACTATGGGTTCGATGAGGGCAAAGCCTTGGTTTTCTTGGTCCCCATGGCATTTTCAGGGCCATAGGAGTAACTGGATAAATGTGGTTTAATAAAAGAGTAAATAATATTAAAGCTGCATAGCAAAGGAATGAGCACCCTGTCACTGGAGATATACAAGAAGTGGGGGTGGATCAGGGATGTTGCCAATGAATCCCTTCTATGGACAACATCTAACACAGAAGTGCCAAACAAACCACCTTTCCAGGGAAGAAGTCATCCCTGATAGCAGCACTTTCTCCTCCTGCGTCCTACCCCACTGCAGGCACAGCAAGAACAGGTTACCTTCCCCAGTGAGCGTGGTTCTGGAGCCAGGCGCTGGGGCTGGCTTCTAGTCCGTGCATCACCGTGTCTCCATAGTCCATAAAGGGCTTGTTAAGCCTGCAGAAGAGAGTGCATAGACAATTTCCAAGAGATAGTTTAGCCTAAAATCACATGGTCAAAAGTCAGGAGATACAGAACAAGGAAAGACACAGCTAAAGAGCAGAAAGAACACAGGCGCAGAGATCTCAGGCTTTGACACTCAGCAGTAATTCCTCGGTGGCTTGTTTTCCTTACCTGTTAAATGAGGCGGAGACTACACAGCAAGAATCTAATGCACACTTTGCATGGGGATGGTAGTTTTCATATCCATGATCCCATTGACTCCTCATGACCATTCTCTGCACAGTTTGTGCCCAGTTTCCAGAGGAGCCAACCAGATAAGCACAATGGCCTGACTGAGATCTCCTAAGGAGCCATGCAGAAGAGCCTCACCTGAGCTCCCTGCTCCTGAATGCTCTTCTCTCTTTCTTGGCCTTATTGGAGAAAACTAAGAAGTAAACTTCTATTATGCATAGGATGTTTCTGGGCTGTCCCTGAGAACCATGTACCAAAGGAATTGACACAAGGAGGCTGTTTTCCTCACCTCTTACAGAAGCGCTGGGCACACCTGACCAGGATGTGCATACAGTGGCAGGCGATTAAGCCCATCACCAGCAGACTGAGTGGGCCCATCTGGAGGAAGGGGAGGCAAGGGGTGAGGGAGGAGAGAAGAGAATGCATTTATGAAGAATACTGCAAGCTGGGATTGGTAGCGTAGATATCATGCAGGACTCAAAGAACTCTCTAGCAAACTGGGTTTAAAGCCCTTTTGTAGCAGCAACAGCTATTCTTTCAAATATGACCTCAAGTGATATTCCAATAAAGCACATAAAGCAATTACAATGGGGTATACTGATGGGAGTAGGGGGACACAGAATCCTGACCATGTGTGCACTTTGTGGCCCCTGAAACATCCCCAAGGAGACCTGGTCCTCTATAGAGCATACTTGGAAAACTGGGCATAGTCCAATCCTTGCATTCTGCAGGGGAGGAAACTAAGGCCCGCAGAGCAGGCAAATGACTTACCAAAGGTACTAAAGTCTGTGGCAGAGCCAGAACTCAAACCCAGGCTAGATGTCTAGACCCTAACCCCGCACCAAGCTGCCTCCCAGAAAGACTGCTCATCACAGGTTGCTAAACCGCTAGAGCTTCTCCTGTTACTTCCCTTCCGCAACTGACCATAAAGCCCCCACATATGGCGCCTCTCTTACCAGGATGCCCGCATTCTTCACAGCGAGGGATAGTCCCAGGATCCCTGTGCCCATGTTGCCTTTCACCAGGTGAATCAAGGCCTGGATCACTCTAAAGGAGGGGAAGGAGATGTGAAGTATGGGTGTGTGGAGGTGAGAAGATCCAGCAGTCATTCCCTCGCAGCATGCCAGCACCTGATAGGCGGGTTCCTAGCCATCTCTCAGTCCGTGTGTCCTTGCCTGGCACATCTGGGTCTCCTGTAAGGTTACCAACCATCCCAGTTTGCCCAGAACTGTCCTGGTTTTAGCAGCTAACACTCAATATATGCTGCAACACTTGCTATATGAGACACTGTGCTAGGTGCTTTGAATGAGTATTATCTCGTTTAATCTTCTTGCCCAGGCTCTGACAAAGATACGATTATCATCTTGCAGGTGAAGAAACGGAGGCACAGAGATTTGTTAATGACTTATCCACGATATATTGGGGAGCCAAGATTTAATGCAGGCCTGCTTCAGAGCCCCTGTTCTTCACCCCTACTTCTGCTGAGCTGCCTCCCAGAGATAAACTCAGACAGCGTAAGTAAAGAAACAACCCCATTTCATAACTGAGGAAATGGAGTCTCAGAGCGGAGCAGAAACTAGCTCAATGTCATAAAACTAGTAGTAGAGACAGGCTTGAACTCAGAGAAAAGGGGAAAGGGCAGGCAGAAGAAGAAATCATTACGACTTCTGAATAAACAGGTCAAATGACTGGGTCCCCAGGTGGGATCTGGCGGGACATAATCATTCAGGGATTGAGCTCCAGAGGGGTTTCTTTTCTCAGCCCAGGGTATCAGGGCTGGAGAATGCATGCCTCCCCTCCCCCAAACAAAAACTCAGACCCTTCCTTTAAGACAGATATGAAGGTTTGCCCAGAGGACAATGTCTAAACCATCAGGAGAAAAAAATGTTTCAGGGAGGTACCCTCTCTATTAGTGGAATTACAAAACAACCTATTTCTACACATTTTTGTACCTGGACCAGGTTAAGTCAAGGTGAGCATGGGACTTACATGTGCAACTTTAGAAACTTTGGAAATTCCCCAGGAGAGCCTTCTGGTTAGGAGACTTATTCTTTGTAAAACCACAGAGGTACTTTGGAAGGAGCCCGATCTCTGGGATTTGACAAACCAGAGATTAAACCTCAAGGCCACGACTTAACTAGCTGTGTCATCTTGGGCAACGTGTTCAACTTTGTTGACCCTCTGTAAATGTCAGGAGTGATGCTATTTTTAAAAGATGCTATTTTAAAAGAATCTATGGGCAGAGGCTCAGGAAGCTTCATATTGAAGCTCTAAACCCTCTAGCTTCCTGAGTCTCTGTACATAGATTAATCAAGGGTTAAAGAGAACAATCGAGGGAGAAAGGGGGTGGAGAGTTCCTGCATGCCTTTCTCCCTGTGGGTGTCCACATCGCTGACTGAGCACTACACCCTACTCGCCAGGCCAGCAATGGGCTTGTTTTGCAACTAGGAAAGGGTCAGCGGGTTACTTGGGAAATTTCTAACTAAGGGACTTAGGGAAATCAGAATTTAACTATGGGCCACTCAACCAACTTGAAAATATAGCACGGTAAGTCATGCAAAGCACCAAACTGGGAGTTGGGAGACGTGGGTTCCAACTCTAACTCCTTTCTTCGGTCACCTTGGACTGTCATCTTATTCACAGCAGCCAGCGCTTACAGACACTGAGTCTGGGGGATTTATGCTCAAATCTCCCAGGAGGAGAGAACTATCATTGACAGAGGAGAAACTGGGCACAGAGAAGTTCCAGCATTTGCTCTAGCTGGTAAGCAGCTAAGTGGGAATTTGAGCCCGGGTGAGCCAACCCCATCGTTGCCACGCTTACCCAGCCCATATTTGGCTTCTCCCTAAGCCACAAGTCTCCCTTTAGCTCTCACTTGCTTTATTCCTTTGATCCTTAAGTTGCTGAAATTGCCACCAAACCTTGTATCAGTTCAGGACACAAGAGATAGGTGGTTCCCTCAAGGCCTCTGACTGAGAAATGCCTCTACTTAGCAGTGGCTGGCCCCAACTTATAGACAGCTCACTCTAAGGGTCACTAATACTTAGCAACTCGCAGGACTAGCCCTGGGGCAACAGCACCGGGAGCAGGGCCAGTCTTTGTGTCCATCCCTAAATTGTCCTGCTGGATGGTTGTGGGGAGGGGCTTTGCTTGTCCCTTACAGTCCCTCCCTGCAGTGCACCCCCAAAAAACACATCCTTCGATTTTGTTTCCATGCACTCTCCTTTAGTTCACGCTGCCACCTGTTTTGCATATCAAAAAACTGGGGCTTAGAGAAGGAGCAGAGTCACTACTTGAACTCAGGCCTTCTAATTCTCTGTCCAGTGCTCTTTCTGCTATGCTAGTGGCGCGAAAACTTTCTTCTTAAAGCAGCAGAACCTCTTCACTACCACACCCCACACCTTTTTTTCCTAAGTAAACTAGCAAGTGTGCTTGGGTGGTGGGGTCAGGTGTGGGGAAGCGAGCTGCAGCCCTGTAACTCAGCTTCCCTCTTTTTTTGTGTTTTGAAAGTCTAGTGAAAAACCCCCACTCCCCTCCCCCGGAAAGTGGAAAAAACTAGAACCTTCCACAAAGTGTGTTTTTGAGTGTCATCTGTGCTTCTCAGTTGAAGTAGAGGCCAGGCTTACTGCAGGAAGGAGGTAGGGAGGAGGCAATACTTAGTGGTCAGTGAGACCACTGTGGTTTTAAGCTCAGGACTCACCTTCTCCTCCAAGAAGTTAGGGATTCTACCTCTATCCCCAACATTAACATCGCTGGCCAGGAAGAAAAATATGGCTTTAGGGCCAGCACTGAATTCTAGCCCCTATCCTAACAATGACTCAGTGTATGGTCCAGGGTAACTGAACCTCAGTTTTCCCACCTGTACCTGTTGGGGGCTGGATCACTATGTCCCTAAGGGCTTTTCTGACAGTCTTTACTTCTGCCCCTTTAATCTCTCAGCTTGACTCAGCCCATGACTGCACCTTTTGCAACCTTGGTCTTTCATCTGCACAGGGGGTTGAGGGTCAGACACACTCACCTTAGGGTTTTTGCCAGTGCAAGCTTCGGGCTAGAAAGCGGAAATAGGGATGGCAGAAAACAGCACTCACGTTATGCCCTTGGTCTTCTTCAAGCCTGGTGACTCTGAAGGACTTTCATCCAAGAATGTAGAGTCCTTGTTCTCCAACTTCTTGGCACTTTCAGGAGGCGACATAAGGTCCAGTTTGACAGCAACGGCTCCCTCGGTACTTTTTGTCACAGACATGACTGCTGAAGAAATGAGGAGCTCAGGGTGACTGAGAGGTCTGCTCTGGAAGGAGAGAAGCAGGAAGGTGTCTAGTATAGATGTACACCCTAGCACAGTGATGTGTGCCCGGCCTGGCTCTGGCCAAGCTGGAATGAGGCCCCGCCTACCTCCCTGGAGGGCACCTCTTCCTGCCTGGAGAAGCCAGTGGAAGAGGACTGCTGGGAGGAGGAGAGGAAGGAGGGATTTGGAAAAGGCATCACCCATTCTTATTGGTATTACGTAATAATCATCATAATGATAACTATTATACTGATAATTTTAATAACGAATATCTATTAAGACCTTTACTAAGGAATAAGCAATCCTCTAAGTGTTTTATCTACAATTTCTCATTTAACCCTATCAATTAAATAAGGAGAAAACTGAGGTTTCTTGAAGTAAAGGAAACTGCCCGAGGTCAGACAGCCAGAAAGTGACAGAGTTGGAACCTAGCCCAATTTGTCAAGGTTTTCAACCAGTAACCTATTTCTGCCTGCAAGAAAATACCTACAAATCCCTCTCCTTGTATTCATCTCAGGGTAGAGGTTTCCATATCTCACTGGCTCCACAATCTGCTGTAAGACATGCCTTCTGGGAGCACCCCATTCTTAAATTGGAACAAAAAAGGGACAGTCACTCACTTATCTCTAATTAATTCTTAGCTTTTGTGAGGCTCCATGGAGTGAGTAAAGGGTGTTCTTTTGGAAACGAGGAAGAGGCTGAGATTGTATGACTCCCGGCCACATTTTGCTGGGAAAGACACTGGCGCCAGGAGGTGGTGAGATTTGTCCAAGGTCACACATGACATCCAGGATAGAACTCTGCAGCTAAAGACGGTCTTGGGCGTTTCTCTAGTATCCCACTCTCTGTCATTATCTCTGCTTCAGTGCAGATGAATGGGCCAAAATTTCCTCCTCCCTCAAAATTACATCTTTTGACTCAAGCCATACCACTCTCTCCTCCATCATCTCATCCCCAAAACTAACATCTCTTAAGGGCTTATTACATGCCATGAGCTTTGCTTAGCTAATGTCACCGCTAACTGGTAGCATCCAAGACAGATTTGTCAGGCCCCTCCCTTACATGGGGGCTCTTTCCAAGGTCCTGTATGCAATTTTGAATGGACAATTTTGTATTGTTTTTTTCTTAAAGAGGTCTTCCTTACCACTATTTTCCCCTTCTCCATGGGATAAGCTTCAAGCTCCACAAAGCCTGGCTACTTCTCTGGGTAGCTTTGTTAGTTTGTTTTTACAGATGTGGAAATTGAGGCTCAGAGAGGTAAAGAATAACTTGCTGGAGGTCATGGCTGGAATTTGGTAAATCTGAACTCCCCGCTAGCCAGATTTTTTTTTCGTTGTTGTTGTTATTGCTTGTTGTTTGTTTTGTTTTTGTTTGCTTTTTGTCTGAAGCCTGCAGCTTTGACCACAGCACTGTCTCCTTTGTGTTAATGCTGGCCCCACCCTGCAAGTTTCTTGTCCTGCATCAACTGAAACACTTGCTGTGATTTGAGAAGCGCTATTCCCTTGTCTGGCACCATTACATGGCAGTATGGCTGGTCTTTAAAGTAGCAGGCTGCATCCTGTGACCCGCTCATTTACAGCCTGAGATTCCACTATTTAAATTTGTAATCTCAGATTTAAGGTTGCAGGTGCAGCTCTGTGTTCCTGCTCGAGCAAGGTCAGTAAATAAGATTGTTGAGGAGCTTGCTATGTTTCGATCTAGCTTTCCTCTCCAGGTGGTGAGAAGAACTCTGAGTTATCTTCAGGCCTTTTGGAAAGGGGTGGCTGGAATATCAGTGTTTGGCCAGAGCTCTTCCCAGGCATCATCAGTGAAAAAAAAGCTTGTAGGGTGGGGCTCTAGACCCCAACTCATTGCACCACCTGTTAGCAGGTCTTCTCCCAGGGTGGAGATGTCCAAAATAAGCCCTTCTAACACCGGTGGCCCAGGCATTCGAAGCCCTGGGTTCCACTATGGCTCTAACCATGAAGCTGTGGCAACCCTTGGAAAGATATTATTCCCCTTCAAACTCCAGCTTCCCCTTTGGAAGATGGATACTAGATTGTAGATGACTTCCAAAGGCATGAGAACCCCAAGGGCTTGGATGGGGTGTTCGGTGATGCTGAGAGGCAGGCCAGCTTTTCCTGGGTGGGGCAGGCAACTGGTGAAAAGACAGCCTGCCCACTAGACATCTTCAAAAAGGGTGGAGCAAATGGGATGTAAATAATGATAATAATGATTCATTCTTATGATCCTTTAGAGTAAACATAGAGCCGTGTTCCTTTCATAGCTTATGGCAGTTTTGAAACATGGTGTGTATCAAAGCATCTGAAGAGATAATAAAGAACAGAGACTCAGATTTGTTGAAGTAGGATAGAATCCGTGCCATGATATTTTTGCCAAGTTCATCAGGTGATTCTGATACTGGCTAAAGTTTGACTCCACTGTTCTGTGGAGTAGGAATAATTGCTTCCTTTTTAATAGATTAGAGAACCAAGGCAGAGAGCTGGGAAATGATTTGCCTGAGGTCGTATAATCTAGTAGAAATGATCACTAGTACTAGAAGTTGGAGACTTCAGAGACAAAATGAAACCCCTACCCAGATGAAAATTCATCACCCTATCCTTGCCCCACTGGGTACCTCCTCATGGCTGATGACTGTGACTCCTCTTACCCCCATCTAAATAATAATGATAATAGAAACTCACATGTATTGAGTCTATTCTATGTGCCAAGCTCTAGATGCAGTGTGTTACATGAGGTAGGCACTACGATTACTCCCATTTTACAGATGAGGAAACTGAGGCTCAGAGGGGTTACCTCATTTGCCTAAGGTGACCCAGTTAGTACTAGAGGCAGAGCTTTGATTCCAGGCCTCTTGGCATGTGCCTCTGAAGATACAGTTGAGTTATCTCTGTGTTCCTCTGCTATGACTAGGGTGTAGTAGGAACTCTGAAATAGTTGAAAACCCATTCCTATGCATACTTTATGTCATTCAAGACTGGAACTTCATGCATCAATCAAATTTCTAAATAAATGTTAGGGATTGATATAGATGGACAAATTCTCATTTCTCTGTATTAAAAACCTTTAAAATATCACCATTAAAAAAGAGAATATTTCAACCACCTAAAGCTGGAAGAACATAACATCAGGATAAAGGATAATGGGTTTTTCTTGTGTGTGTGGTTTTTTTGAAACAGAGTCTCACTCCATTGCCCAGGCTGGAGTGCAATGTTGTGATCTTGGCTCACTGCAACCTCCACCTCCCAAGCTCAAGTGATCCTCCCACCTCAGCTGTAGAGGACTACGTGCTCACAAACAGGGTGTTCCTGATAA